TCATCTAGTCCTGGCATGTGGTGAAGCTTTTTCACAGCTACTTCTTGTCCATTTGGATGCACTCCCTGTTTTACATATAAATTTGAGTACTGACAGTTTATTATTTATTAGTTGAAACTGAAAAATAAGGAAGCAAAATCATACACCATACCTTGTAAACCACCCCATATCCACCACTACCGATTTTTTGCTCCACCGCAAAACCATTCGTAATATCTTCTATTAATTTCCATGGTTGATCTGTTGGCATGTCCCTTGTACTGTGTCATTCATTATTCATACTTCATGCATCAGTTACACTTACACTTTAAAGAAACTAGCTCAAGGCATCTGAAACATCTGGCATCTGGGTGTGCTGCATGAGTGAGTGGATGCAGGGGCGAATCTACAGGGGGGCTGGGGGGGCTCCAGCCCCCCTACAGCTGGTGCATCAATGGAAATATGGGGAGGGTGAGGGAGAAGAAGAGGTGGAGGAAAGAAGAAAAATGGAGAGAGAGAGGAAGAAGAAGAGACCAGTCCCTCTTCAATCCTATTCTGCATCCGCCACTGAGTGGATAAGTGTGGAGTGTGTTAATTTACGCATATATACACTCAGAATATTACAGCTACAGTTAGAATAAGAAGAGAACCAAACGTTTTTTTGTACTGCAAATACATGAAACTAAAAAATCTTCAGTTTTAACGAACGAGACTAAACATGTAACATGACTAATAGAAAGATTATTATAGCAGCACGAATCTGTTTGGCCCATTCAACGTTTGCCACCTTACTGTTCGCTAGCTACCACACAATTCACATCCTTTGCACCCATGGACACACAATCCAAGAATCCCTTAAGGATATTGGATATATGATGAAAATCCATGCTGATTTGTAAATTATCGGACCATATATATACATAGTTTACAGAACTTGGTCATCAGGCTAGAATTGGTAGTAAACTCAGAACTATAATGATCCATGTGGTGGGAACTTTCCGAAAACCTTTCAGAATCATAAATAGCTAGCAGAACCAAAGTCACTAACCTGAAGAAATCTTGCAGATGGCCACGCTCTCATTGAAGAAATGACGACGAGAGGTGAGGAGAGGTGGAGAGGGAAGGACCCAGTTACCCGGTGTGGTAGGTGATGCATATCAAGATTGATGCGAACAATATCTAAACTAAAACTAGTGCGCGGTCGATCCAGATCAAAGAACCAGTAGAGAAGACCTTCTAGTTGATTAAGCACACGGACTAAATAATTTGGGTACATGTGCTGGTTCCAGCAAACAGAGGATGAGCCAGCAATGACAGCTCCAAATAGTAATTTTTAAGTACTACTCTGTCCAAAAATAAATTAATTCCTAAAACATTATTTATGACACCAAACAAGTAATAAGCACATTATAAAAATATATTTCATTATGTATATAGGGATACTAATTTGGTGTAACAAATATTGGCATACTTTACTACTAATTTAGTTAAATTTAAAATAATTTGACTTAAGACAACTTAGAAATTGATTTATTTTGAAACAAATAGAGTGCAGTGTACCTACAACATTTTTCAATGAGCCTCTGCCAAACCGAGGCCGAGCAAAAGTGCTTTTTGTCTGTGTGTCCTCGTCAGCGATTCGTCGAACTACCGTCGTTCGTTTCTTTCCAAGTGGACTGACATTGATAATCACCTTGGTGAGCCCTATTTATCAAAAAACAGACAGAGATGCACGGCTTTTGTGTTCATCCTGACAATTTCAACCACGACTGATTGAGTACCGGTGCAGATGGATTTGTAGCAAATAAAATTTTTTGAGAGAAACAATTTGATTTCCACTGTGAATGGGCCTTTAGCCTAGTGGTTGGAGCTCCTCAGTAGCACCCTAGCAGACCAGGTTCGAATACCCACAGGGACAAATTTCTGGACTAAAGGTTAAAAAAAACAAAAAAAGAATAGGTACGGTGCTCCCCTGCCAACAGTTAAAAAAATTGATTTCCGCTCCAAAGCCTGCCTCTTAACACTTTGTTCATTGACCATGAGCAGTCTTAGGCTAGGTGCGTGTGCGCTCCTGGGCTATGAGGACAAGAATGACCTCCATGGTTGGAGTAAAAGCTTCTTGGGCCATAAGCCCGTAAAAGGACAATACCATGGCCTCGACAACATGCCTCTCTCGTGAGATTGGATCTCAAGTAACGGCGGTGACTACGGCGTCCGCGGCATGGTTCGCTATCGAGGCACTTCATGTGTCTCAGTCCAGAGCCCGCGTCATCAGCACAAGGATGGCGCTCGCTACCGCGTCGAAGGGCGCGTCCTCCATGAGTGAGTATTTCACTAAAATGAAATCATTGATGAGATGGCGTCGGCTGGGCGCAAATTGGAAGATGAGGAGCTTGTCTCCTATATCCTAACCGGGTTGGATCTTGAATTCGACTCGGTTGTGTCTGCGGTGGCGGCGCGCGTCGAGCCCATCACCGTGATTCGTGGCTCGTTTCCTTCGAACAACACATGGAGATTTGTGGCGGGGGTCAGCAATCCTCTACCAACATGGTCGCCAAGGGTGGTCGTGGCAACCACTCCAACAACAACGCGCGCGGTGGAGGCCGTGGTGGCCGCGGCGGCTTTGGCCATGGCCAGAAGGGCGGTCATGGTGGCGGTCGTTTCTAGGCTGGCATCTTCTGCCAGCTCTGCGGCAAAGGACACTCCGTCATGCGCTGCTTCAAGAGGTTCGACACTTCATTTTCAGGACCACCACAGAAGAGCACTACCGCAGCCACCAGTTCATATGGCGTTGATACGAATTGGTACATGGACACCGGTGCTACCGATCACATCACCGGGGAACTGGACAAGCTGATTGTCCACGGCGGGGAACAGGTTCACGCTGCAAACGGGATAGGTATGGAGATTGCTAATGTTGGTCATAGCTATTTGCATGATTCGAATAAAGATAGGGTATGCGATGCATGTCAACAAGGCAAGAGTGACCGACTAGGGTCCTAGGGGTTCCCTAAGGGGGTACTACCCGGACGGGCCCTGGGCTGGCCCACAATCTGTTGAAGGACACGAGACAAGGTGGCGTGGACTTCAAGCTATTCCAAATTGACTTAGTCGGCTTACTATGAAAGCTAGGTTCTGTAATAGGACTAGGACTCTTCTCTTGCAACCGACTAGGACTAGATACGTGCCCTTACCCTCTCCTATATAAAGAGAGGGACGGTGCACCCCCTTATAATACAAACAATCATACAATCAATCCAACGCAAAAGGCTACACGCCGTATGGACGTAAAGGCTATTACTCGACAAGAGGGCCCGAACCAATATAAACCATTCGTCTCTTTATGATTACCGTTGAGTTCTGCGTACGCCGAAGCCCTCCGAACACCATCTACGGTACCCCCGTGATGGGTTGCCGGTCATTAAACACCGACAGCTGGCACGTCAGGTAGGGGCTTTCGGCGACTTCGTAGTCAAGAGCAACATGATTTTCTCGGCGGGAACCACCTTAATCTTTGGCTCCTGGATCTGCGAGGCAGACAACCATGGCAAGCTCCAAAGCCATCTCATGCAGATCCTGGTGCCTCAAGCTTCACCAGATGCCTCGACGATCTCGCCGAGAAGTTTTCACACCTCTCAATTTCTGATCCGACTCGAATTCAGGAGGTCACCTGCAACCACAACTCCCACCCGGACATGACACTTCTGTCTGGGTTGGAAGTCCTATCTGAAGTCCAATTCGAAGACCAAGTTTGTTTTCCACTCAGACTCAGCAATTCAGCTTCAACCTATCAAGATTCAATCAGCTACCTTTTGTAGTCTGAGAAAGAGATCCCTCTTACGGGTGCCCAGAGAGGATTAGTTCTATCCATCACACCCGAAAGGAGGCATCGTCCATTGGCCAGGTGCTCGACCCGACACCTCTTTAATAGATCCATCTCATTTAGTCGGCATGGTGGAACTCTTGCCTTATCAGGATGGCAGTACTCTTTCAGCAGACAGCAACAATTGCGACTCTACAGAGATTTTGGGCACTGCGATGACTACAGAATCTGGAACACACTCGGTGATGAGGCACTCCAGAGAAGTTTTCATGGCTGGGCAACCACCCCAGATCCCTATGCCTACTCCTCTAGACATCCAAGACGGGGAAGAAGCCTTGTCCGACATCTCCCCGGACACAACGCCGCCCAACGGAGAAACAGACGAGCAGAGAACGGCTAGGGAAAAGAAGAATAAAGCTCGGCAAATCCACCGCAACCGCGCCCAACACCGCAGGGAGGAGTGGGAGCGGTATCAGTTGGCTAGTCGAGACATTGAACGACAGTGCTTGGCTGCAGAGGCAGCATATGAACAGCGTCTACGAGATGAAGAAGCAGAACGACAGCGCTGAGATCATGACGCCGTCAGAGCCTCTGTGTCACGTAACCTCCGCCTGAATTCATGGAAGTAGCTGGTCACAGGGTTTTTACCCTGCCCTACGCCAACGTCTATGCCCTGGCAGAAGAGATGGTGGCCATACCGAACCCTACTCCAGATCAGCAACAACTCAAAGTCATTCTGGAATCAACAGCCCTTCAGTATGGTGATAATCAAGCAAGAACAATTACCCTATTCCCTAATCTTCCTTTGCTGAAACAACTGGGTGCTGAGGGGTAAAACCTCGCCCCTAACCACGGATCGTGGCTACGATCTACGTAGCCAGGGTCCTCCTACCCTATCCCTTGACGCCCTTGACAGGAACGAGGAAAAATACAGGAATATAAAATGAATGAGTGTGCAAAATAGAGGATGAAAAAAACACAGGAATGCGAACACATGAACCAGATGATGGATGAATAAGGTAAAACTCATATTCTAATAATGTGAGGACATAATGATATAGTAATTAAGAGTTTGAAATAATGTACAGACTTTTCCCTCGTTTCACCTCCATTCTTAAACGGGCCTAAAGTGTTTGAAATTCCCAATCTCCAGAGAGAGTCAAACAGAGAGAAGAAGTTGATTCTGCCATTCACTCTCTCAGGATTCCTCATCAGCCGGTGGTGGTTTGTCAAAAACAACCATCACATTCACCTCATCAACCACAGTACCCTCCTTCTCAATGAACACGTCTCCAGTTATATCCATAGCAGCAAGACCTCCATCTACTCTGGTGCTTAGCATGGTGATCTCCTCCTTGTGGTGATTATTTGGCAGTGTATTGACCTGTGCTTGCGTTGTTACGGTGACACTACACTTGGATCCTGGTGGGACAATGCCCTTGTCTGGCTCTATGCGGAAGCGGCGTGACCTTGCCTTTGTCATGAAGGCAATGTAATCATCCGTATCGTTGGTCAGCTCAATTGAGTTTGATATCTGCGGGTCAAGTTTAAAGGGGAAGTGTATTTCCAGCGGCTCAATCCCAAGCATGTCCTCCAGGCAAGGGATTTCCTGTGATGGAGAAATTAAAGATGGATTAGCTTTACCAGAGCCTGTCAAAGCTTTAGATCCCTTGAGCTTCAGGGAGCACATAGGGCATACCTAGAATTGGCCACCCTTACTATCTACTGTGTTGAGCACATCCATTACGTATACTATGTCAGGTCTGGCTGTCAGGTTAATTTGGATGCATCTTTGGGCCAGCTCGAGGCATTTTGTCACTTGTTGATAACCCAAGGGTGTATGCTTCGATGATTTAACCCAAGGGACAGCACGACGCGTCGCGTAGCCATTCAACAGAAAAGATCAAGCGAGAGGACGGCAACTCCAACGTGCGGCGTAGGACAAGGCCAGCAGCGGCTTGGCATGATGTGACGCGCGTGGGAGCTCCGTGTGACTTCGATAGGGCACAGCTGACCCCAAGCGGGGACAGACGCGTGTGCGAAAGGCAGCGGCCTCGACCCTGTACCAATGCAGCGCCACCAGAGCAGCGAGAGAGGCCGACGCCGTCACGGCACCCATGTGAGAGGCGGTGTGCGCGTAGCGGCGCAACAGCGACGGCGGCTGGCGGAGCAGAGCCGAGGAACAGAGCGACACGGCCGGCCCCAGGGGCACCAACAACGTAACGCATCGCGGCAGTGAGGAGGGACAACTGCAAGCCAGGGCTGCCGGCCACAGTGGCCAGCCGAGCGCGGCCAGACACAAAGTTTGTACTTCATTTTTCGACCACAGGTATTTCTAGTGAATTCATTTTTCGACCACAGGTATTTCATCGTCATCTACAAAGTTTGTACTTCAAACTTTATTCAAGTAGCACATACATGTTCTATAGCATTTTCGCTTAATAAAAATTGATTTTAAACCCTAAGTGATATAACGTGACTATGAATTTAACTTTCGTTATGCATTTCCATTGATCGTTTTAAGTCACGGAACTTGATCTACACTCTATATTACATGCATCAACACATAAACATGATGCTCATGACATGTTTTAGCAAATGATTTATAGTGTAACACCGAGGGTGTTACAAATCTACCCCCCATAAACAAAATCTCATCCCGAGATTTCATGTGCCTAGTGTGGGAAAAGAGATAAGAAATACATTTCAATGTAAACAACTACCTCGGTGAACCAGAAAGAAGGTGGGGATAATGCTTCAAGATATAACTTTCTTGCTCCCACGTTTCTTCATCCTCCGAGTGGTTTTGCCACTGAACTTTGTAGAACTTCACCACATTATTTTTAGTCACTCTTTCCTTTTCGTCCAAGATCTTTATAGGATGTTCAATATATGACAAGTCAGGCTGGAGGGGAAGTCATTCAATTTCCACAGCTTCATCAGGGACCCGCAAATATTTTTTCAACTGAGATACGTGAAACACATTATGTACCACCCATAAAATATCTGAAAGTTGGAGACGATAAGCAACCGGGCCACACTGCTCCAAAACCTTGTAAGGGCCCATGTATCGAGGGCTAGCTTGACACGGACACCAAACCGATGCACCCCTCACATAGGAGACACCTTGAGGTACACATGATCCCCAACTACAAACTACAAAGGCCTTCTTCGCTTGTCCGCATAAGTTTTCTGTCGGCTCTGAGCTGCCTTCAGATGACTCTGAATAATATTGACTTGCTCTCGAGCTTCTTTGATGAAATCAGGCCCAAAATATCCATGATCTCCCACTTCAACCCAGTTAAGTGGTGTCCTACATTTCTTCCCATACAGAGCTTTGAAGGGTGCCATACGAATGCTTTCTTGATAGCTATTGTTGTAAGAAAGCTTAGCTAAGTTCAAGCATTCATCCCACTTCTTAGGAAAAGAAATGGCACAAGCTCTCAACATATCCTCAAGTACCTGGTTTACCCTTTCTGTTTGGCCGTCAGTTTGTGGATGATAAGCTAAACTTCAGAGGAGACTACTACCAAGACACTCCTGGAGTTGCTCCCAAAAATGAGAGACAAAGACTGACCCTCTATCAGAGACGATAGTAAGAGGAACTCCATGCAGGGTCACAATCCGATCAAAGTACAACTTGGCATACTTTCTGGCTGAATATCTGGTATCCACTGGGAGAAAATGAGCAGACTTGGTAAGGCGATCCACAATGACCCAAATAGAGTTATAGCCCTTAGATGTGCGGGGTAAACCCACAATGAAATTTATGAAAATATCTTCCCATTTCCAAACGGGAATAGGCAAAGGCTGCAAATATCCTGGGGTACGCATATGGTTTGCCTTAACTCTCCCACTGGTGTTGCACTCCACGACGTACTTGGTGATATCCTGCTTCATATTGGACCACCAATACAAGTGGCGCAAGTCATGGTACATCTTGTTACTGCCAGGATGGATGGACAACTTGGAATGATGAGCTTCATCCAAAATCTTTCTTCTAATCTCCTCATTTGACAGAACCACCAATCTGTTCTTGAACCTTACTACACCTTGCTCATCAATACTAAACCGAGGACCACGCCCTTCGGCAATTAGTTTCTTTATGTGAGGAATTTCTGAAGTGTCTTGCCTTTGCTCTATAATAACATGCTCAAGTAAATCCGAGACTAAGGCAATGTGAGCTAGCACCTTAGCATGGTTGAGGGACAAAGGTGTTTCTTCAACCTGATACAACTTCCGGCTCAAAGCATCAGCTACCACATTAGCTTTTCCGGGTTGGTAATGAACCTCCAAATTATAATCCTTGATTAATTCCAACCATCTCCTTTGCCTCATGTTCAGCTCGGACTTAGTGAAAATATATTTGAGGCTCTTGTGATCCGTAAAAATGTGCACTTTATTTCTCAACAAATAATGCCTCCAATTTTTTAGAGCGTGCACCACAACAACTAGCTCTAAATCATGGGTGGGATAATTCACCTCGTGCTTTTTCAGCTGGCATGAAGCATAAGCTATCATACGCCGATCCTGCATAAGCACACATCCCAACCCCATCTTCGAGGCATAACAATATACATCGAAAGGTCTATCAATATCTGATTGGGCAAGAATAGGAGCAGTGGTAAGAAATTTCTTCAAAGCTTGGAAGGCTTCTTCACAAGTCGGACTCCATACAAACTTGGCATCTTTCTGGAGCAGCTTGGTCATCGGCTGGGCTATTTTGGAGAAGTCAAGAATGAAGCGTCGATAGTATCTAGAAAGACCAAGGAACTGACGAATCTGATGCACTGACTTGGGGGATTTCCAATTTAACACATCCTGCACCTTGCTTGGGTCTACAGTGGTACCTTTAGGTGTCAGAACATGTCCCAAAAACTACACTCGATCTAACCAAAACTCACACTTGCTAAATTTGGCATACAACTTGTGTTCCCTCAATCGAGTCAGTACTATCCAAAGATGTTGGGCATGCTTTTCCTTGTTCTTGGAATATATCAAGATATCATCAATGAATACCACTATAAACTTGCCCAATTCTGGCATAAAGACTAAATTCATGAGATACATGAAGAATGCAGGAGCATTGGTGAGACCAAAAGACAAGACTAGGTATTCATACAGCCCATACCTAGTAGAAAAAGTTGTCTTTGGTATATCTTGTGGTCTAATCTTGATTTGATGATAGCCTGAACGAAGATCAATCTTGGAGAACACCTTGGCACCAGCTAGTTGATCGAACAAAGTATCAATACGAGGTAAATGATACTTGTTCTTAATTGTTACCACATTGAGAGGGCGGTAATCCACACACATCTAAAGAGTGCCATCCTTCTTCTTCACAAAAATGGCTGGACAACCCCATGGTGAAGAGCTAGGACGGATGAATCCCTTTTCCAACAAATCTTCTAACTACGTCTTCATTTCAGCCAATTCCTTTGGGGCCATGCGGTACGGGTGCCGGAAGATAGGAGCAGTGCCAGGTTCTAACTCAATGGAGAACTCCACATCTCTATCCGGTGGCAACCCAGGTAGATCTTTAGGAAAGACATCCGGAAACTCACAGACCACAGGAATAGAGGCAAGATCAGGAGAAGCTTCAGCATGAGCAGCAACAGGTAAGGCTAAATCTAAGGGCATAAGAATAGACATTCTATTCTCAGAAGAAGGAAGCCATAACTCAACAACTCTCCACTTCAGATCTAAGACTACCCCATATACCCACAACCAGTTCATTCCCAAAATTGCATCAATACCCTACCCAGGCAGCACCATGAACTGGAGACGGTAAGTGTGAGGGTCTAGCACTAATCCAACTGTGTTCGTCTGAGTATTAACGCATAACTGCGCACCCAGAGTACTGATCTATAGGCAATAGGTATAGCCATAAGAGGTATATTGTGCCTTTGTACAAACCCCATGCTCATAAATGAATATGATTGTTTACACCAAAATTTGGAAGAAGAGTCGTAGGGACTCGAAAGCTCCCAAGATCATGTCATTAAGGAATCAATTGCGCGCAGATCGAAACCAGCTGATTCGGATACGAAAACTAGAATCGGCTTTCTTTGGATAGCGCCAGCGGATAACGACAAGGGCTATGATTCGGCGCCAAGACGAAACATGCTGGACTCTACAAAAAGGGAAAGATTAGAGTCCAAGTTATCTTAAATTAGGAATGTTTTCTTTAGGGTCAAAAATTGTGATGAGTCGTGCTTAGACAGGAGTCGTGTGCAGGTCTCGGGTATAAATATCAAGCCCCGGCTATTGTAAAAAAGGACAACCAATCAATCAAATACAAGTCAATTACTTTTTTGGCTCCGGCCACCCTTAGGAGTAGGAGTAGAGTAGATCTCGGCGAGTTTTTCAGCAAGTATGGCTGCATCGATCCGGTTGACCTCCACTGCTTGTTGTAAGTACCGTCATGGCTTATACCTCTGTTCGTACGACAGCATCGATCCGGTCGACCTCCACTGCGACTCTGGTATAAATTAGTTATCGACTCTTGCCTAGTTCAAGTATGACTGCATCGATCCGGTCGACCCCCACTGCATGAACTAGATCAAGGTCAAGTTATCGGCTCTACCTTAGGATGGCAGCCTTTGGTAGATTCATTAAGTTACCGATATTGTTTATTGCTTTTATTGTTTATCTAATTACAACAATATTATTCTGCCCGATTGGGATTGATCTAGACCGGCCTTATATCTTGTTTAGCACATCGTTTGTTAATCCAAATTGATCTAATCTACACCTTAAACGATGAGTTATGTTTTATCAGCTGCTTTATGTCAATCCTGATCGTGCATAGCGTGTGGTTAAGGCGTGTTGCATCTTGAGTAGATTTATTGGCTAGCGAGAACCGTTCCATGGACTGTTATCACGGCCTGTGTGATTCTGCCTCACACCCCACTATGAGCACCATGGAGTGGGGACCGTTATCTGGTAGATCTATTCCTGATAAGGCATGACTTTAACTATGCGCTATGCCTGAATCGGCTGTTTTAGCCGATATCGAGCGCTTTCACGAATAGTTCGCATCACGAGACCATTGAAGTAAAGATAGGTTGAAAGATGTGTTAGCTCCATGATCTTATTATTGTATTATGGCCTACATGATTCTACCTCATGCCCCACTGATATTAGTAATAAGTTAGGGTCATCGAGTCTATTGTTATTTCTACGGCCTGCATGATTCTGCCTCATGCCCCACTGGTCATAGTGATAG